AAGTTAAAGACTTGATTAACTATTACAAGCAGAATGGACATTTTGACTGAGGAACTTTTTACGTAGGTGCAGGGAAGGAAAGATAACTTATGTCTCCTTATATTTTCTCTTCTGTTCTCCCTTCCGTGCCCCTCCAACCTTGGAGGGGCTATCATAGGTCTTCATGGTAATTCCTTAAAGTATCAGCTAAAGTAAGAATTTGGAATGGGCAGGTTTTCTTACTGACACTAAAGGTGAGATTTGCAGAAGCACTCAACCTTTATTAATCTCTGCTCTCATGGATGTCAGTGGTAAAACAAGGTCAGTGGAGTAATTATTTCACAGTTGAATGCTCATAGTAGATGAGAGTTGTCTTCTTTTTCCTTCTTCTTTTTTTTTTCTTTTTTTTTTTTTTAACTTCAAGCTCTCTAGGATTCCTACAGTTTGAAATATGCCTCTGAACTCTGCAGCCCCAGAGGGGCTGTTATCTATAAAATGTGCAAGGTCATCCACATGGAGATTTTCCTCCAGTCTGCTTGGGTTTTTTTAGTGTTTTTTGGTTGGTTGGTTGGTTTTGGTTTTGAGGTTTTTTTGGGGGGGTGCCTCTGAGGAAAATGATGATATGAGCCAGTGTAATTCACAATGCCATTCACAAAGGAATGCTGAAAGACAAAGGAGAAACCAAAGAATTATAACCTTGAAACTACATTTTACATTTATAGCAAAAAATATACCTCCTCTGTGGATAAAAAAAAGAACACATTTTTCACCCAAATGCAAATATTTGACAAAAGAAAAATTTAACCGTCATTGCATCATAGCAGAAAGGAAAGGTGAAGGTCAAAGGGCAATTTGCTTGAATGATGACCTTACTTGCTGAATTTCACTTTCCAGACTAACAGATGATAAATCACACATCATAATTAAAAAAAAATCAAAATTAACAACCTCATAAAATGAATGCTTTAAGAGGAAAGAAACTCAAATGGCATGAGCTATAGGGCTGAACCACTCAAAATGTTTAACCTTCACAAGATCTAGTATCCTTCCCACTGCTATAAAGTCTAATAATTTTCATTAACATAATAAGTCAGTAAAGCTTTTCACCACAGTTACTCTAGATATATATATAAGAACTAAGGAAAAGGGACTATAATATGCTGTTCGTTCATTGTTATTCACATTTAATTTAGTATTTTGTAATAAAGTGAATACTAGAATTGTCCAAAGTAGGGTTCTATATGAGTCACTGCATTAGGATCCAAGCAGCACCCCTGTTCTCAGGCTGAGACTTCATAGAAGGCAACCTCATTATAATTTCACTGAAATGTTATAATGTGTAGCAGTGAAAGAGAACAGTGTGTTTATAGGTCTGCTTAAGCAATGTGGTAGTTTAGTCTGGGCCTTCCCTGGTGACCAGTTTGTAACCAAGGAAGTGGCCAGACTACCCGGTATTCCCTACGATTTTTACGTAAGTCAGGGTGTAAGAAGAAAGGAGTAGAGGCCTTTGCTCCTCTTGCCTTCCGGTGGCTTTGGAGGTGCAGGTTCCCTGCTGTTGAGTCTGTCGTGTTGGGGAGTGAGGCCTGGTAAGGCCTGGCCCACCTTGAGAGACGGAGGTTGCCGGCGATCGTTCCAGCGCGACTTTCCGTTGTCCCAGGGAGAATAGTAAGATATTCTTTTGCTAATTCTTTTAGTTGCTAGATCTTGGGCTGTCGATCGTGTATATTTTATTTTGGTTTTGTTCTTTTTTTTTCCTTCCCCCTCCTCTTTCCCTTTTCCTTTTGAAATTGTACATATATTTCACTTGTTATAAATGTAATATAAGTGTAAATATATTTATATATATATTGCTTTAGCTGCCTCTCTCTCTCTTCGGTTCTCTTGGTTTTTTTTTCCTTAAGTTTTTTTTTTTCCTTTCCCTTGGTTTTGGGGGCGGGGGGAGCTCTTGTGGTGAGGTTTGGAGACTTGGTAGGGAACCAGCTTCAAACCACCACAAGCAATTAATATCTTTTGCATATTTTTGTAAGCAATTCTTGCTGGCAACAGAGGCAGTGGATTAAACAAGTTTACTGATGACACCAAGCTGTGTGGTGCAGTTGACACAGTGGAGGAAGGGATGTCGTTGAGAGGGACCTTGACAGGCTTGAGAGGTGGACCCTTGTGAACCTCATCAAGTTCAACGAGGCCAAATGCAAGGTCCTGCACCTGCATCATGGAAATCCCAAGCACAAATATGGGCTGGATGGAGAATGCATTGAGAGTAGCCCAGAGGAGAAAGGCTTAGTAAAGTTGGTGGTCAAGAAGCTAAGTGCGTCCTGGCAATGTGCACTTGAACCCCAGAAAGCCAATCATATCCTGGGCTGCATCAAAAGCAGCATGGCCAGCAGGTGGATGAAGGTCATTCTGCCCCTCTATTCTTTTCTGGTGGGACTCTACCTGAAATATTGTGTTTGGCTCTGGGGCTCCCAACAGAAGGACATGGACCTGTTGAAGCTAGACCAGAGGAGGCCATGAAGATGATCGGAGGGCTGAAACATCTTTCCTATGAAGACAGGCTGAGAGAGATGGGTTTGTTTAGCCTGGAGAAGAGAGGGTTCTGGGGAAACCTGAGACCAGCCTTCCAACACCTAGAAGAGAGCTTAAGAGGGGCTGTTTTGATAAGATAGGGGGTAATGGCCTTAAACTGGAAGAAAAGATATTTTTATCCAATTAGACTTCTTAGCTATGTTATTATTAGGTATGAGGAAGAACTTGTTTGTTATGTGAGTGGTGAGGCAGCAGAATGGGTTGTCCAGCCAAATTGTGGATGCCCCATCGGTGGAAGCATGCAAGGCCAGGTTGAAGTGAGCTTTAAACAACCTGGTCTAGTGGAAGGTGTACCTGTCCATGGCAGGGGACTTGGAACTAAATGATCCTTAAGGTCCCTTCTAACCCAAACCACACCATTATTCTATGAAATATAACTTAGTTTAGGCATTTTGAAAGCTTTTGTTTAAAAAAATTTTGTTAAAAAAATTAAGGCATAAATATGTAGAAGTTTCTGAAGCCCTTGACACTTCATGTCTATAGAATTTTACCCAGCTGCAGGAAGGATAGTGTGCAGATAATGCAGATAGCATCAAGAAAGCACCTTTGGAGAGAAAATGTCATGAGAGAGATCCGCAAGTTAGAATTACAATTTCTTTTACAATGGTAGATTTAAAAGAGGTCTTTTTCTAAGCATTACAGACCCAGAGACCTGAGATGTGATAATTCTTTATTGTTATCTGCCTCATAGAAACTAGATTTGGTGAAAAGAGGAGGAATTAAATATTGTGTCATGGGAATGAAAAAGGCCTAAGTTCACTGGTGAATGAAGAAGCAGTGTATATAGGTGTAAAGGGTGGATGTTAAAAATGTGTAAAAGCAGATGATTTTCTCTCCCATCCTGTGTCTCAGGGTCACTACCAGTGCAGAAAGGGCCACATTTACAGTCAGCTATCCCATGTGAAAAAGGTCTTCGCAGGCATCCTCTCCCAGCTTGTGTGACACTGATATTGAATCAGCTGCTGAATGCACTCCAGCTTGCAATGAGGCAACCAGAATACTTGATCATCGTGGCAGGAAAACAGAAGCTAGCTGAAATTCCAGTAATCCTACATATCCATGGATAGGGAAGGACTGGCAGGGTAGGCAACATTAGCCAAAAAGTAAATGGACAGCTTAACACAGTATTTTTATCTAGGAGAAAGAGGAGGCTGTTCTACCTCAATGAAAGACAATCAGATAAAAAAGTACAGTTATCATAGACTAGGTTGCTGTCCATAGCTCTGTCTTAGAAGTTAAATAAGCATAGACAGACTCTGTCTCTTAGCTGGATCTTAAATTGGCACTGGAGAATCCAAACCATATATTTTTAAAACTCTGAAAATATCAGTAAGATTGTAGATGATCTGAAAAATGAGACTGAATGCCCGATTGCAACGAGTTGACTTATTTCCCCTGAACTGACTCCTCTTTGACCAACTAGGAGGTGGTTTTCTGGCATTGTGGAATAAGTCTTGGTAAGTGATCCTTCTCCCAGGTCTGGAAAATAATACCAATGAACAAGGTGATGCATTAGCAGAGCCTGTCAGTGTGGTTACAAAGCAGACAAGGCTGAAGAGGTGTAATAGAATGCATCTTATCCCATTACTACACTCCTGCTGATATAGCATATTCTCAACAATCATGAGGCAATAACAGAATGACTACTTATTTTTATAAATCCTAAATGGAAAAATGAAGAAAATAATGAAAAAGCTCAAAGGACAGAGCATTATGGTAGCATAAAAAATACATGGAGAAGATTTAAACAGCAGTTTATTCCATGTCTGAAGCGGGTATGTGCAACAAAATAATAAAACTCAGCAGATAATATCATATCTCACAATAGCTAGCTCTGAAACGCTTGATGTATTTAATAGTTTCTAGTCAACTCAAACAGATGAACTTAAACTGCCAAAGCATGTTACAGAAATTAGAACATCACTGTACTACATTAGAAAATGAAATGCACACAAGAGAAACAGTTTTTATCAGAGAATACAGAAGGAAGATTATATCATCAAAGTGTTTGTGACCGACCTAAAGCTGAAGAGCAACAAGGGAATGAGGAGAGGGAAGGAGAGAGGAAAGGAGACTGCTTGAGTGTCTGATAAGAAATTGCATCAGAAATGAGAGGAGGGAGTAAAACTCAAGAGAATCTAAAAATTGACAGTGAAAGATACTCAAAGGTGATAATATACTAGATCTTATTAGACAAGAAAATCATCAATCCCAGGCTGAAGTTCTGCTATTTACAACAGATGCTTGAACAGTATTATAAATTATAACAATTTTGTAGTTTTTAGCAACCTCTTTTAATAAATATATTTGGCAGCATAATCAAATGAAGAAAACATTCAGTATAGATTTTAGTCACCTTCACTTTTTATTTCCTAAAATGGAAATTCTTTTTTTGCTATTAAAATATTTTTCTCTGATTGTTCAGAGATATGAGTGACAATGTTTACTTTTCCTCATTTTGGAGTAAAGCTTCTTTTCCTTAGAGCAAAAATAGAAGATCAGAAACAAGGTACTGGAGAAGTTGTTCTATATGAATAATTTTCTTTTTTAATAAATAAATACAATCATCCTGCATAAGGGAAGAACTACCATTTCTTAATCTCATTAAAATCAGTGAGAACTCATTTTTTAAATAAAATTGGAGCAGATTTGAAAATCTATTCTTCCATCAAAAAAAATTTTTACTAGACTTTTTAAGAAGTCATTTGCAACAAACTCTCATTATGTTAGTGGTAGTTAGCTATTTAGATAATATGGAATGATACATGAGGGCAAAAATGTTTGTAATTTATTACATAAATATAGTTAAGGGGTTGATCCACAGACTTTTGAAAATATGATATAGAAAATTCCATGCTGCTGTACCTGACTCAAGAAAGGAAACTCAGGTATTTTTAAAATCCTGCATTACAGTACAAAGCTATTAAGAACCTAGGAAAATATATGATACATATGAAATTTCATAATTGTTTACAAGAAACCAGTCAATGCTCCTCTATTATATAGCTTGGCCATGTCATCCATGAATGAGTAGTAGTTTCCTGAGAACTTACTTACAGGAAGATTTCAGATTCTTAACAGATGTCTTAAATCAGTTAAGATGCTCACTTTAATTGTATTGTTTCATTTGTTCCATAGAATAGGATTATTGAATTTTGTATTTAAAAAGAGAAAGGTTTAAAAAGGCAACCTGCATCTGAGATTAAACATGGGTAAAAACATTTCATGATTTAAACACAATTATTTTCTTGGATATGACTGCTGAGATGAGTGAGTAAATTCATATTTTGTGAAGTCCAAACAAGCTCAGGTGTGAGGTAGATACTTGCCTAATTTGATATCACAGCACTTAGTTTTCGTTTATATGGCCAAAAGAAGGAAGCTGAACATTTTAGTATTTGACCAGTGAAAAGCTAGTTGTTGTGAGACTTCTGTATTTTCAGGGTAACTCACAGACTTCTTAATGACATAAATCCTGACACAGGATTTAGATTTGTATGTAAGTTCACCTGTGAAGAAGAGAATGATAAGAAGAGAAAAAAATAAGAATCAGAGAAGAAAATAAGAAGAAAATAATCAGAGATTAAAATAGGAAAGAAACAACTATTAAGCAGCCCATCTCATTGTTTTCTTACCTAGACATTAGTTTTTAAATAGTGTCAGACATACAGTCACATAGCCATATAACAAAAGTGCCTACCCCAAACTCTGTTATGAGTTCTAGACCATAAAACAAGTCTCAAAGAAACAGAACAGAGGTACAGATCAGAAATGTCCTATGCCTGGAACTTCTTTACCTCAGTTGTATGCATTTTCCCTCGCGTCTGGGCCTTTAAGTTCATGCATGAATAGAGCTGAATAGAGCTGAGTGAATAGAGCTGAGTTTCAGTGCTTGGTTCTGAAACTGGAAGTTTGAGTTGGAGTCATGCAAGTATTTAAATGCTAAATTTAGAAGCCACTTTACTGTGCCGGGTTACAGGTTAAGAAAGGAATGAGTGAATGTGATTTGATAAGGGAAGGTAGACCAGAGAACAAATTGTTAAATACTGTTTGTGAAAATGAAAGATCTCAGCACTGTTGAGTACACTGTTGAATATCCTGTAGCATCTGTATTTTTTGAGAGTAATTATATTAGAGCCAGTGCAGAGTAATTACATGAATTTTTTTTGTTGTTGTGACTACACACTACAATACAAGTGCTGCTTTTCAGTAGAATGTGGATGGTACAGTTCTTAAAAATTAACTAAAATGTGTAAAAGTATATGGTGAGAGGAAGTGACTAGTACAGTTCAGTAAATAATTTGTACGTAAAAATTTCTTTATAACACTTGAAAATTCATTTAGTCTCATTTACATTTAGTTTCAAGATCTATTCAATCACACAGTCACAAAGCACGGTGAAAAAATCATCGTTCATACACAATAGCAGGAAAGGGTATACCATTTGCAGGAGCAGAAGGAACAAGTGCATTGTAGAGGGAAAATGAATTTGCTTATACAAAAGTGTGGGGTTTTTTCTCCGTTTGAATTACAGATCCTTTTTCATATATAGTTAGTCCTGTGAGATTTCTCTACCTCACAAATTATGAAGGTCTTAATATCATTCTGTGTTCTCAATAAGATATGAAGGAAAATAAGATAATTAATAGATTCTTCAGTTATTTCAGATAAATCTATTTCTCTTACTATAAATTACTAAAAATGTCTTGACTATCAAATTTTGTGATAAGTAAGATCCTGTCTGTTGTCTTTCCCAGCAAATACCATACTGTGTTGTATACACGTGGAAAGAAAAAAATAATTTTTATATTTTTTTATTTTTTATGATTTTTTGGTGCTCTTTGAGCATCTTCCCATAGACAGTCCCCTGTGTTCTGGCCAGAATTTATTATCATAAACAACAGAATATTTGATAGGATTCAAGGCAGAAAATAATTTGCTTACCTTCCTTCCTGCATGATGAGTTGTTCTCCAAGACTGAATATTAATTCAATTTTCTTCCATTTAAATTTATCAGCAGAGTACATCTGAAATATTTCACACAGCAAGCAGATTTGTCTTAATTTTCTTGTTTTAAAATTCTGTTCTAATAAACTTAAACATATGGAAAGAATATAATTGTATCTTCATTGTAACTTGAAGTAACAATCTAATATGCATGATAACAATCACAAGATTCAAGATATCATTTTTTCAGTCATCTTTTTGTGAATAATTCATGGATATAAAACCAAGGAAATCCAATAAAAAAGAAAGATTCGTTCTATTTATCGGTTTACATACTAGAACAAATTTCATTTGTATTTGTTTATAGAATTGCTAACAATTTATCACATATCTCATAGTGATTGAGCTTTTTATAGTGTAGGAAGGACATTCCAGAGTATAGTGGAAAGTACGCTAGATGTGTGTTATACATACCAGATTTTAATTTAAAAACAAAACAAAACAAAACAGTACAATGCCTATAAGGGTTTTTAAAAATTAATCCAAGCAGGTAAAAATATAGACTAGGGTCTCCTAAAACAGAGAGGAATACAAAACCAAGCAAACCAAAACCACAAATAAACAACCTCCAAACAAAACCTTCTTGAGTCTAGTTGTCTTCACAGAATTATAGAATCATGGAATAGTTTGGGTTGGAAGGGACCTTTAAAGGTCTTCTAGTCCACCTCCCTCTGCAATGAGCAGGGACGTCTTCAACCTGAACAGTTTTCTCAGAGCCTCATCTAACCTGACATTGACTATTTCCAGGGATGGGGCATCTGCCATCTCTCTGGGCAACCTGTTCCAGTGCTTCACCACATTCATCATAAAAAATTTCTTCCTTATATCTAGTCTGAATCTACCCCTTTTTAGGTAAAAACCATTACCCCTTGTCCTATTCTAGAGGTCCTCCTAAAAATTCTGTTCCCACCTTTCTTATAATCGCCCTTTAACTATTGAAAGGTTGCAACAGTCTTCCTGAAGCCTTCTTTTCTCCGGGCTGAACAACCCAACTCTCTCAGTCTGTCTTCAAAGGAGAGGTGTTCTATCCCTCTGATAACATTTTAGGGCCCTTCTCTTGACCTGCTCCAACAGGTCCATGTCTTTCTCATACTAAGGATTTCAGAGCTTATTCCACTTAATCACAGCTGAAAGGTCATCATGACATATTTAACATGGGTTTCTACAGCACATCTTTTTTTGATTCCTCAGTCTTTTCATCTTAATCACTAGCAATGATTTCTTAAAATAAATAATTTTAAAGAATAGGTTTGGACATTGCAAGAGGGTAGTGTCTTTTATTTGAATTGATTATATTTAGCAATCAAAACAAAACATTAAGGACAAATACTGCACAAACTTTAAAGAATTATATAAGAGGATGCTTCTATCTATTTTTACAAAATAAAGATAGAACTATTAAAAAAATCACTGACTAAGCAATTTCTTGATGCTAAATGAGATGCTCTTTCTGATTCTGTTCTTCATGGAGCAGTGTGAGATTCTAGACATTTGTGATGTAAGTATTTGCACCATCTTCATAGTTAGGATAATATTTTAATGTTCTGTAATTGACAGGGATCACTCTATAGTTTATACAGATCACGTTTTTTTATTAATACTGATTTAGTAAATGAAATGTTTGCATTGAGAGGTCCAAACATAAAATAGCTATGGGGTGTAATTTAGTTTTCTGTCACTTGGTGCATTCACTATACTGAGGAAGAGCTTTCAGATAAAGCGATCTTTAGTCTATCAGAAAGAAATACGAAAAGATCCAGTAACTGGAGCTAAAGCACAATGATTTCCAACAACAATGATTTCCAGCATTTCCAATGTTCTTTAGAAATATTACTGGAGCAATCAATTACTGAAACCATTACAGGAACATTAAATACAGGTGTGTGTGATCAGAGATCTGCTGTGAGCTAAAGCCTATATACAAAGCATGTGACGAGAAAGCTTAATCAGAAGGCAAGATCTTCTAGCTATAAAAAGCTGACTTCAAATTCTTAGATTGCTCCTAATTCTTATTGTCATTTTTGCAAAAGCCCTTCGGTTCCACTGGTAAAGCAGGTTTTTATACTATTCTTTTGGTCTTCTTAGAAAACACAAAAAATGGCTAATTTAAATTAGAAAAATGAAATCTGTAAAATGAATATGTAAATGAAATAAACTTGAACAAATTAAAATAATGCAGACAAAACCATTCTAAGTCCTCTCTGTAGGAAAATAAGAATAAATGAGACATAGAGGTGGTTTAGAAGCTAAGTGGATAATAAGTATGAAAGGAAACAAATGGGGCTGCTAAAACAAGTTATCATTTAGCAGTCTGTGTACCTTTGTGTATGAGAGGCAGATAAGCACCAGGAGAATTTGACTAGCATATTTTAAAATTTCCATCTACTGAAGTCTGACAACATGAGAAGGGATTGTGTATTAGGAATATCCATCTTTCAGTATTTCCTATGTATTTTAGCAAGATACAGGACTCTGGGAGGACAGGGAGTAAGATGTAGAAAGGTTTTATGTCTCTTTAAATACATCCTCCCATCCCATATATTAGCTGGGGATGTGCTTAACTGGGAGCATAGCACAACAAATACAGCTCTTCTAAGGAACTCTGAGCTGTGCAACAGTCTGTAACCAGTACAAGAAAGAACAACATAAAATAAAAAGAGATCTCAGTGCCTTAAATTGTTTTATGGGAGGTACTGACTCCCCAAAAAATCTGTAGTTCTATGGGCAAATTGTAGCTTAAAATGACCATTTCCTGCCATGCTGATGGTCACTTCCTTCATGTGTCATTTGTACCTCTGAGGGTCATAATGAATAAATGCAATGAAAGTCTACAATATGACAATATTGCTTATAAGACTTTATGATCAATTAAGCTGTTGTCATTGCAATTATAAAATGGACAGCTGTCTAAGCTGCTGTTGCAAGCTAATGTCTGAGATTGCTTTTCATTTTAGACCTAGTAAAACATCCTTTTTTGTCCTGAAACTCTTTATTCTTTGCCAGAAGATATAATTTAATCAAACACACAAGAACGTATTTTAAAAATATAGAGTTGTTGCAAAAATGTTTCTATCTTTGAAGTGTAAGAGCACTTGGTTTATCTGTAAAATCATGTATATTTTTAAAATTATCTCAAGTTTCAAGTCAAACTGAAAGTGGATGTAAGCACTAATTATTTACATTAATTCAGTATGTAATGATGGTACCAAGGAAAGTTGAGGCTGCAGTTAAATTGTGGAGAACAATGAAAGAAAGTTAAGGTATAAATGTAAATTGTTCTGGCACTAGAAAAGTATGGAAGATTGATCTGTTGATTAAGCTGAGGCAACCATTCAAGCAGCAATTATAGAGAATAGGAAGGAATAATGCATGCTTCATTGCACAGTCTAGACCCTGGTAAAATTTCAAAGTCATTTGTCGCTTCTCCAAATCAGACAAGTGTGCACCCTGCCAAGAGCATTACTTAGATGAAAATTACTCAAGGACTTGTGAGTCATCCTTTTTTCACCAGTGCTGCAGTCACAATACACTTTTTTGTGGACTTTCCCTCTATAAAAGCTTGTGTTCTTAGACGGGTTATAAATATTGTATCCAATTCAGCTCCAGCATAAATATGGAACACCATCAGAACATGAATGAAAAGATATATATATGCCAAATAATATTTTAATTGACATAACAAAATGATAAATAAATAGTTGCTAATGATACACATGATATAAAATTTGATTAAATAGAAACTCATAATATACTTAGTTCTATTCAATATGATAAGCTGTGATACTTAAAACAGCTCTTTAAATGTAAAATAATTATTTAAATTCATATTTCCTGTAAATGACACATGACAATAAATTCATATTAATAAACTATAATAGAATCATAGAATCATAGAATACACTGAGTTAGAAGGGACCCATCAGGACCATTGAGTCCAACTCCTGGTCCTGTGCAGGACACCCCAAGAATCACACCATGCGCCTGAGAGCATTGTCCACATTCTTCTTGAACTCTCTCAGACTTGGTGCTGTGACCACTTCCCTGGGGAGCCTTTTCCAGCACCCAACCACCCTCTGAATGAAAAACTTTTTCCTGATATCCAACCTAAACCTCCCCTGAATTAGCTTCATGCCATTTCCTCGAGTTCTGTCACTGGTCATGGGAGTGAAGAGATCAGTACCTACCTCTCTGCTTCCCCTTGTGAGGATGTTGAAGTCTTCTCCAGGCTGAATAGAAAAGGTGAAGTCAGCTGCTCCTCATATGCCTTCCCTTCCACCATCCTTGTTGCCCTCCTTTGGATGCTCTCTAAGAACTTGATGTCTTTTTTATCTTACGATGCCCAAAACTGCACACAATATTCAAGGTGAGGCTGCACCAGTGCAGAGCAGAGCGGGACAATCCCCTCCCTCCACCAGCTAGCAATACTTTGCCTGATGCCCACCAGGACACAGTTGGCCCTCCTGGCTGCCAGGGCACTACTGACTCATATTCAAATTGCTGTTTACCAGGATCCCCATGTCCCTTTCTGCAGTGCTGCTCTCCAGCCTCTCATTCCCTAGTCTGTAGGCACAACTAGAGTTGCCCCATCCCAAGTACAGAATCTGGCACTTGCCTTTGTTAAATTTCATACAGTTGGTGATTGCCTATCTCTCTGATTTGTCAAGGTCTCTCTGCAGGGCCTCTCTACCTTCAGGGGAGTCAACAGCTCCTCTAAATTTAGTGTTGTTGACAAACTTACTTAGCATTCCTTCAAGTCCTGCATCCAAGTCATTAATGAAGACCTTGAGGAGCACTGGGCTGAGGATGGAGACCTGTGGAACCCTCTAGGGACTAGACGCCAGTCTGTTACCCCATTTGCTATAATTATTTGTGCCTGACCTGTGAGCCAGTTGCTCACCCCTCATGTGAGGTCGCTATCCAGCTGTACTCTGGACATTTCTCCAGAAGGATCCTGTGAGAGACAGTATCAAAAGTTCTCCTGTAGTCAAAAAAACCTAAATCTACTCGCTTTCCTAGATCCACTAGGTGGATTATCCTGTCGAAGAAGGAAATCAGGTTTGATAAGCAGGATTCTCCCCTCATGAAACTCTGCTGGCTGTTTTAACTGACTGCTGCATTGTCCTTCAGGTGTTTTTCCACCTGAAGATTATTCCAGAATAATCTTCTCCATGATTTTACCAGGCACTGAAGTGAGACTTATGGGCCTGTAGTTTCTGGGGTCCTCCTTTTTGCCCTTCTTGAAAATTGGGACAACATTGACTAGCTTCCAGTCAGCAGGGACCTCTCCAGATTCCCAAGACTGCTCATCCATTAATATATTTGAAAAAATTCTTATTGTCCCCCAAATTTCTGGCCTGCTTCAACTCCAGTTGAGCTTTGACTGCACAAGTTTTCTCCCTACAGTTGCAAGCGGCATCTCTGTATTCTTCCCATGTCACTTGACTTTGCTTCCACTGGGCATACCCCTTTCTTTTTTGCCTTATTTCCAAAAGAAGATCCCAGCTCAGCCAAGCCAGCCTTCTGCCTTGTCTGTTTGACTTCTGACATTTGGGAATTGCCTACTCCTGTGACTCTAGAAGGTGATGTTTGAAAAGTGACCAGCACTGATAGACTCCAGTACCTGCAAAAACATTTTCGCAGGGGACCTTACTTATTAATTCTCTGAGCAGCCTGAAGTCTGTTTTCCTCATGTCCATAGTTTTAAGTTTTGCTGGCACTTTTCCTTTTGTTAACAGAGATTTTAAACTCTATCACCTTGTGGTTGCTGTGTCCAAGACAGCCACCAATCACCTCCCAAGCAGGCATCTTTGCAAATAGGGTCCCTCATAATCTGTTCCATAAAGTTGTCATCCAGTTTTTTTAGAACTTTATTTTAAAAAACATTGAGCTAGTTAGCAGAAAAAATTGATCAGCATGATAGTCTGAGAAACAACATATTCACAACAGTGTAAATCTTGACAAGCTTATTTATTTCTGAATAGCCATTATTGTTCTTATGACTAAACATCTTTAATAGGTGCTACATGTACAGTAGTAAGGAACTTAGCATTTGTAAAAATGCAGATACAATAGTGTACAGAAAAGAACCACAATATGTAGCAGGAAAGAACTTAGAAAAATTGTTTCCAGAAAAAAGCAAATATTTTTTCTTATCCACTATCAAAATTCATTACAGTTTCTGATAAAATGGAAATGACATAATTAGTTTAAAAATTAAAAATTTTATAATTTTATCTAATATCCAAGTTTTCTCTTTATAGAAAAAGAAATAATTACAGTCAATGCTACAAAGAAAACCATGCTGAGTAGATAAGCAGAGCGATAATAAAGAGGAGAAGGAGTAATATTTTAAAAGGTAAATTCCACTGCATTATTAAAAAGCCAGGGAGATACTATAAAGATCAGTAAAAGGAAGTATATTAGGAATACACTGGGGCAGTACTATGTAGGTTTAATCTGGGACTCCTGATAAAAAAGAAGCAGCCCAAATTATGTTTTCTCCAATCGTCTTTTCGTCAATATAAAGAGATGCTAACAAGACACTATACTTGCTTACAAGAAACTGGAATTATCATATAATCCAGCTACTTGAAGGGTGAGAGAGAGGAGGAAGGAGTAAGAACAAAGGGGGTAAGGAGAACAAGAGAGGAATGAGAAAGAGAGAAAGATTAAAATAGTGTCTACAAAAACCTTCCTGTTGTGATTTTTAAAGAGATTTAACGCCCATGTGTTTCTGCAGATACAAGTCTTTTATTAAATGAAATACAAAATTAAATAAACCCAAATTCAGAGTGCACAATGAAGATAGAAAGGACCTGAATTGTTTTTTAAAACTCCTTACTTTGAGGATTGATATCAATTGACAGGGAAACTTCAGAAGAGCAGGAATGTCAGTTCAGATGAGGATTATAGAAAAGGAATTTTTTTATCATCAACTGAACCATTTGGTTTACTAAGTTAGGCAGGAAATTCTCAAAAAAAAGATTTTCCTACAAAATTTTTCTGTTTGTTTTTACCATAATGGAGAGAAATATGAAGAAAACATCATTTTATGAAACTGAGCTAATCCAGTTTCTGATTGAGACAAAAAGTACCACAGGAATCAAAAACTATTTTTATCAAAACTTCTGTACCAGTCCTCTTTAACTTGTAAAGGGAGAAACAGATATTTGATGTTAAGCAGCTTCCCAAATCTGGTTAATATTGGTGTAATATTTTGTGTCAATAAGAAAGAAAAATGTGTAATTTTATAACAAATATAGCAAAGTTAATTTTGTATATACTAATCAGAATTCAAATAACCAACAAGTAAAATAAGAGGCTTGGGATGCAAGTACTGGGAAGTCTGTAAGTCTGGGCTGAATAATGGAGAGACTAGCAGGTCTGAGAGTTGGCTACTGCAGGGCCCAGGGCATTCAAGACAATTCCTGAAGAGACTGTGGGGCCTGGGAATCAGCTACTGATTCAGTCATAGGTGAGGACCAGAGAGACACACCTGCATTTGTGACTTTGGAAGCAACTGGAGATCTAAGGGAAATGTAATGAGTAGACTGACTAAGACCAGTTATTGAGGGGATCCATGGCTTGTATGTAAGTCTGAGCACCAGCAAGAAGAATGGGGCTGTGACCTTGATGACTGGTAGGCCCAGATGCCAATAACCAGGTAGACTGAGAATCTGAGTTCAGATTCTGGATGAACACATCATGCAGTGGGTGAGCAATTAGCTCACGGGTTGAGCACAGAGGGTAACAGTGAATGGGGTAACATCAGACTGGTGACCTGTCACTAGTGGGGTTCTGCAGGGCTCTATCTTAGGCCCAGTTCTCTTCAACATTTCATAAATTACTTGGACACAGGACTAGAAGGGATACTAAGAAAGTTTGGGAGGAGCTGATGACTCCCTTGAAGGCAGGGAGGTCCTGAAGGGAGACCTTGACAAATTAGAAGACTGCGCATTCAGCAATCATACGAAGTTCAACAAGGGCAAATGCTGGATTCTGCACCTAGAAGGGGCCAACCCTGTCTGTTTGTACAGACTGCAGAATGAGATGCTGGAAAGCAATCCCATGGAAAGGGACCTGTGAGTCCTGGTCAATGGCAAGCTGAATATGAGCCAGCAGTGCCCTGGCAGTGAAGAGGGTCAAGTTGGTGTTAGTGTCTTTTACCTTTAAGAACTCAAACCAGTGGATATAAAGAATTTTAAAGTCTAGTTATTAATTAGCTAATATAGAGTCTATACCCCTATCCCTTAATGACCTTAATATTAGAACAATATATTTCCACATGGCAAAATTAAATGGAAAGGTGTCATTTATTAATCCCATAAATACATTCCCTGAAAAGGAGGTTTCAGTTTGTCTTAGTGTTTAGGAGTTTATATGCAACATTTCTCTGCAAATACCCTCATTACCTTACAAACTTCAGCTGTTATCCAGATACACAATGCAACTATTCACACCTCATATCAATTTACTTTCTTTTGAGTGTATGATATGATGGACAGGTTTTTTTATCATTGTTCTTTCTATATGCATTTGAATTTTTGGTAGATTTGAACTTTAGAACAGGAAGACTAAAATATGCCTAATCTCTGTATATTCTGATGTTTTTGAAATAGTACAATTAATCAATATGCCAATAAACATTACAGAAAACAGATGGTAATTTAAAAATATGTTTTAAAGTAGCATTCAAATATAACAGATAATAGCAAATACTATTGTGGGGGTATGAGTCACTGATATTTAGTACTCCAATAAACAGATGAAAGCTTATGCAGGGATTATGATAAAGATGAAGGAAGAGATTCAGATAATTCTTTTTAAATATAGATCACTCAGATTTTAATCACAGTGATCACTTATTTGACCATATAAGCCTAAGAAGAATATGTTTAATTAAACCAAAGGACATCTGTGTATGTGGATAGCTGGGTAAAAAGCATCTAGAAGTAGTTAAGAGCACTGGAACTTTTGTCACATAAATCAAACAATTTGCGGTTTTTTTGAAGCAAAAAAACAAAGGTTGACCTTCTGAGTTTTGATGCCAGGAAAAATCTTAGAAGTTATCTTTTGCCTTTCAAATGACAAAACTAACATTATTTCATCTAGAAAGAATGTAGTAACATTTTGCAGATTCACTCTATTCACATTTGGTGTTATTCAAATATCACCATCAGTAGCACCCTTTGTCCTTAAGGTATTTCTTTATTCTCCATATTAAAGTACAAAGAAAAAATGGAGCAGTCCAACTTCTGACACATCAAGCAAAAAAGGATCAGATAATATTATCAGTGCATACATAATAAGTAAT